GAAGGGATAAATAGAAACTTGGAAAAGAATGGTGGGAGGAGGATATAGATCCGACGCTCAAAATCTACCCGGAGCCCGACCCTGCTTAGGGTTGGGAAACGGTGCGGTATGGTCCAGACCAGACCATATATACGGTCTATGGTCCAGACCGAGAGGCTAAAGTATAGACCACAGACCAGACCACAGACTATACGGTCCGGTCCAGACCACGCCTGTGCGGTCTGGTTCGGTCTGGTCTAGATAGACCACACTCAACGAAAAATGAATAATTTGTTTAGTCAACCACACAAAAAATTGAACCAATAACCAAGAAAAATAATTGTTATTTGCCTTAAAACATTAATCCTAACATGCATGAATAATTTTGATACTCTAAATCTTAGTACATAACAAAGATACAAAGTAAAAACATCTCAGCTTGCACCATAACGTCATAAACATGAACATAATGTCATATGGAGACACTATTATCTCTACTCTCATGTTAAATGTGGTTGTGAATGAAGGAGGGAAGAGATTCACAAAATTAAGGTTGAAACTTGGGTGTCGTTGTGGGAGTTTGGAGAGTGGTCGAATGGGCTGTTAACACGTATTGACAAGTCAGTTGGGATCGACCACTTCCACCACCTCCTGCTGTCTTGCACTCCCTAATGATGAGGTGTGAAAATAATTTTTTTTAATTTTTCAATTTCCACATCATCTAGTTAACGATCAACTTTATAGTTGACTGCCACGTAGGACAAATTTAATGGAGTCTAACAGCCGGTGACTAATTGTCAAAAGATTCGTAAAGTTAATGACGAATAAGAAAGGAAAGTGATTCGGGTGGCAAACGTAAAATATTTGTATAATTTGGGTGACCAAACGTGTAATTTAGCCGAGAAAAAAGTAGGAGAGTGTAAATAAAAGTATAAAATATTAAATTATAATATAATAATATTTATAAATATAACAAAAAATTAAAAATCAAAACCAATCACCACTCCGACCCCACACCTCCTTCCTCATCTTTCATCTCTCCCTAGCTCCACCATCACATTTCCCCCCACCAACTTGGCCCCACCTCTCTTCCCCCTTCGCTTTCTTCCTTAGACCATCTAGAATGGCAGGGTTGAAAGTGCCAAATTTTGACACTTTTGGGATGTTATGACAAGTGTTAAAAAGTGGAAGTGTGGAATTTTGGGAATTTAGGAGGGTCAAATTTGGCTCACAAAAAGACAAGAAGTGCTAAAATAAAAAATTCAGTTGCAAGGGATAGTAGAGAAGACAAGAAACTAGCCAAAAAGAAGGGGGTGGGGGGAAGTGCATTCACCCCACACGCGCATCCCACCATTTTTTTTTATTTTATGTGTCAAATTGCAGATTAGCCCTAGAAAAATTTCTTCACCAACCCACAATTTGCCTTGCTCTTTTCTCCCTAGTAGCTATTTTTTTCCCCAACACCTATATTATTCAAAGGCTAAATTGCAAGTTTGGTCACTTGAATTACTAGTAAATTTCACGCTAGCCACTATGATTACTTTATTCCATTCGTAGTCACTTAAATTAGGTTAACAGTTCAAGTTTGGTCACTGGCCGTTAGTCTTCGTTAACTTTTGCTGATGTGGCGACCAACTCTTATAAATATGTGGTCATTAGCACCAGTCATTGTATTTTCATCACTGATGACGTCTTATTTATCGTCGAGTATTGGTTAGTAAGCTCTCAATCCCACTCACCTTGGGGTGTAATGAACACAATGACTAAGTGGTTAGGGTTCTTTGATGACACATCTCGCTTCACATGGTCGAGTAGAATTTCACCTCTATTGATCTGGTGGTTGTTCTAGAAGCTGGATTGCTCGTCATCTCGGAAGTTCATATGCATTCCTTCCACCATAATTGGCCGAACGTGCAATATTTAGCTTGAACACTTATAGCTCATCAAGGATTTTTAAAATCTTTTATGCTAATTAGATTGAGAAGTGAGATTAAGCTCTTTAGCCTTTTACAAACTTAGACCACCATCAACTTTAGGCTTACAATCATGCCAATTAACCAGGTAATCCTTCTGGCCTTGAGATTTGTCCAAAAACTCAAACCATGCCAATTAGCCAGTTAACTATTGACAATAATCTGACACGCGTTAAAGGAGCTTTTGTTACCTCACTAAGCACGATAGGATACATATCAAGATCTATTGTTACCTCACTAAGCACGATAGGATACATATCAAGATCTAATCACTTGAGTCCGTGCAGATTATTGTCAATAGTTAACGCGTGTCAACAACTACCCCATCTTAAGCCAAGTTTAACCTAAGATGACATTATCGTATAGTGGTAATCAAGGTCGTATTTTACACAGGTCCTGGTATCCTAGCCTACTTCCCATCTGATTGTTAATTAGTTAATCGGTTTTGGAGGTTTGAGTGGAGGATTTGAGGGAACTACTAGCTTTAGAGATTGAATAAAGATAAAATCAGGTACTTCGGGGAACTATCCCCCACCCTAGCCTAGGGTTACTACGCATGTATAAATACTTAGGGTTATCGAATGTGGTGAGTGATCTCGTTTTCGTGGGCTTTTTTGGTTATCCACACACCTCCGAGTGCATCTCCCCTAGACCCATATAAAGTCACCTCGATCTAGGCTATCATATCTGGGACACTAAGCATATAGCTACTTTAAATGGATACTATCCACCGTCCACACTGAGGTTTTATCCCGGGTTCTATCTAGGAAGGCTACCTATAGCAGGGGTTCGCTCGCCTTGACCACCATAGGTCCCTATTCATACATCTACCTCGATTTGCTTGACGGTGCATACTTGTCTAACATTAGAACTCCATACCGAGAGTAGAAGCATAAAGTAGGCTAATAGAGAAGATTAGGGCGACTTACCCAAACACAATCAAAGATAGAATAGCAATAGAATCAACTAGATAAACACATTCATTCATTCAAACCCTAAAATATCCATACATACATAGTAAACCCTAAAACTAGGGTTTGGGGTTTAGAACCCCTAGTACCTTAGAGGACTACTTCATAAAGGAGGGAATAAGATACATAGAAGAAATTGAAGAAGACTTGAGGTTGAGGAAGATGCCTCCTCTCTTCTAGCTCCTTCTCCTCTTATCCTTCCTTTAGCTTCTCTCTCTTCTCTCTCTCTAAAACCATAAATTCTTCTCTCAAAATGAGCTCTTGTAAAAGGAGAAAGGGGTCTCTAATTTATAGGCAATAAGAGGACGGACAAGTTCACGGCCAGAAGGGCAGAGATCGCGGGCAGGATCTTCAGAGGAGAGGCCGCGATCTTGAAATGCAGTCATACTGGCCTTCCAGATTGAGGAGATCCAGGGCTGACTTCGCGATCGCAATCTTCGAATCGCGGCCACGATCTTCCTCGCGGTCAAAATACATTGTGGCCGTGATTCGACTAGGGAAACTCTCATTTTCTCCTCGGCACCTTCTTCGCGGCCGCGATCTTGGGCATCTATGCCGGGATCTTCAACTTGTCTTTGCGGTCCAGGATCTCGGTCGTGATCTTTACTTCTAGGCCACGATCTTCAGTCTTCTGCCACCTTGCTACACTTGTGATCTTGTTCTTGTTTTGTACCTAATTCGCATATATCGTCTAACACACTCTAAAATCACATCGAATTCAAATATGAACGGAATAGGGATGCAATTGACGACGTTTAAGCATTTATGCACATGAATTGGCATGAAACAAACCTCAATATGAAGGGTAAATAACACAAATTTCGATGTTATCTAGATCCCAAGTGGCTTTTGTTACCTGATTAAATGTACCGAGACTCCGAGTGATATATCAATTAGTCTAAACTACATCATATTCGTTATGCACTTTTTCTTCAAAATGAGCACCAAAACCGTCACGTTCATTTCACGAATAAGCTCTCAACTAGTAAATAGTATGTATTATGTAATAAACCAAGTTAGAGAGTGACCAACATTTCTCATATAACAGTGATTTTCCATCCTTTTGTGGAGTTTTAAACACACACATACTCTTCATTGCTCATAAATCTATATTTCGTAGCTAAATAAATGCACATGACGCATGAGATATCCCGTCAAATATTATTGTGAGCCAATAAGCTGTGCCTTCCTCCATAGCGCATAAGGCGAGGAAGAAGGCCCTAACCATCTGTTGTTTATCTTCAATTTATCATCATAAACATCATTTACCAGTGTGACATCCATGAGGCCCTATTCTATTGTTGGATGACATTTTTAAGGTTGAAAGGTGGAAAAATCTTGTATATCCACTATCTAAGTCGCTCTCAAATTTCAAAATCATAACAATAATTTCAAAATCATAACAACTGTCTCTATCATACCATACATATTAAATTTACAAAATAAGCATACAACTTGTACAAAGTTACAAATTAGGAACATAAAGTTTGTTTATAGGCATTACAAATAAGTTTTATAAACACTACAAACCGCAGTAACAACTATAACAAGGGTCGTTTGGAAGTTGCGATTATTTTGATGAGATTGTTACTATACATGTATTGTTTAGAATGCATCATTTTCCCCGATTTTTTAGGAGAAACAATACATTGATTGTTTCTGTGATGTAGCTAAACTATCACTCAAAATAAGTGATTGTTATCTCAGCTTTTAGTTGTGATTGTTGTGCTGATATTGTTTTTTTAAATGTTGACATTATTTTGTCTCAGTTTTTAGTTTATTTGACATACACAATCATACATACCAAATATTGTATTTTACAATGCATTAAATTCAATAATACGTATATAATATTATACACACGGTGACAACTTCCAAACCAACCCAAAGTTAATAAGTTATAAAACAGTCTGTCTCTTGTACAACTACAACCAGATAATTTCCAATTTCCCCCGAATACCTAAAATTCGATTATGAACCCTAATTTTCAATTTTGAAAGATTCGAAAACAAAAAAGCCAGAAAATGTTTCTTCAATTTCCCAAATTCAAACAACGAGAGGGCCCTCCTTCGGTCCTTCCTCTCTCCCTCTTCTCTGTTTCCACTCCCCTCTCTCACCTCCACTCTCTTCCTGGGACTGGGTCTGGGACTCTCTCTTTCATTTTCTCTCAACAGTTTCACAAGCCAGCGAGAGATTGTAGCTTGCTTTTCCTTCGCCTCTCCCGGTCTCCCCACGGCCCACCCCACCAAATCCAAACTTTACCTTCCTTCTCACTCCATTCTCCAGTCCCACCCTTCCCTCCTTTCTGCAACCTCATTCCTTCCCTTCCTGCAGTTGCAATCTCTGCGAGTTCCCCACGTTGCTTTCTTCCTCCCATCTCTCCAGCGTTTGCTGTTCAGCAATGAGCACCCAGGGGGCTAAATCTGCCAGAAATGCGAAACCCACGACCCAAACTCCACAATCCAGCTCGAGATCTTCCTCCCTCGCCGCCCACATGGCCATGGTGGAGCTCAAACAGCGAATCATCACTTCCCTCTCTAAGCTCGCCGATCGGGACACCCATCAGATCGCGCTCGAGGAACTCCACTCCATTATCAACACCCTCTCCCCTGAAGTCCTCCCAATGCTCCTCAATTCCCTCTACGACACCCTCTCCGAGCAGTCCACCGCCAAACCCTCCGTCAAGAAAGAGTCCCTCAACTTGCTCGCCCTCGTTTGCCAGTCCCACCGGGAATTGACGCTTCCCCATCTGGCCAAAGTAATTACCCACATTGTTAAGAGGCTTAAAGATTCCGATTCGGGCGTGAGGGATGCTTGCCGCGACGCGATTGGTGTTTTGTCCGGTTTGTATCTCAAGGGCGGCGGGGAAGGTGATGGTGGCGAGGGGAATAATGGCGGCGGGCATGTGGTGGGGTTGTTCGTCAGGCCGCTGTTCGAGGCTATGGGAGAGCATAACAAAGTTGTGCAGGCGGGCGCTTCGTCTTGTATGGCTAAAATGATTGAGTGCGCTGCTGGCGTGGACAAGGAGGGTTCTGGTCCTGGTGGTGGTGGTGGTGCTCCGGTAGCCGCTTTTCAGAAGCTTTGTTCCAGGATTTGTAAGCTGCTCAATGGACAGAATTTCCAGGCGAAAGCAGCTCTGTTGGGTGTTGTAACCAGTTTGTCCCAGGTATGAGCATTGCCATTATTGAATGCTGTTCATTTTAGCCACTATCCCTCCGCCACTCATAGATTCCCGAATTGGTCAACCTTCTCGCATTGCTTTGTGCTTGGATCTATTTCGAGCTAAAAGTCAACCAGTTTTGAAGCACTTCTTAATTCCTTGATTTGATAAATTGATTAAATTCTCATGTTTGGTTGGTCAGCTTAGAAGTAGTTGGGGGCTTTTGTTGTTGATGGTTCCCTTTCTAATCTGATGGTATCAATTGAAGTTTAAGTTTCAATGGGTGAATAATGAACGTATAAATTGAGTTCTGGCACATTTAGTAAATGGTTGTTATGTGGTGTGTGGCTTATATTCCATCACTCTTGTCTACAAGTTGGTCTTTGGTGCATTTCCTTTTCCTTGGTGTCTAAAGGGATTGCAAATGAAGATGAATTTATCATCATGCTTCATGATCTGTTGCAATCTGGTGGATATTTGGTTAGTGGCCTAGTTGTGTTTGTTCTTTTAGTTACTGATAGCACTGAAGTAGAAGATGGCGATCTTGTATCCATATGTATTCATATGTTTCAGATGTCTGCTCAAGCCCCCAGTTCTAGATTGTAAGAAAGGAATAGTCTTTTATCTTTAGATCATAGGTGACAATCTATTCAAAGGCATCTCCAATTTTAGACTAAATGTAGAACATAAACAGGCAGGCTGCAAACTTATTTGTCCTTCTATTGCCCTTTTCTATTGAAAGGTTTTATTCCCCTGTTTTCATCTTATGAGAGGTTCTGGATGATCTCATTCTTCTATGGGTTTTTGCTTTAAAATTTCATATGGATCTTACTTTGTGGATATAATTTCTTTCGTCTGGTCAATCAAATTTTTTTTTTTTTTTTTTGCGTCCTCTCTGCAAACCATGCAAAATGAGCTCAGAGGTAAACCTACAAAGTCCTAGAATCTCTTGGTCGTCCTCTCTGTCCACCCATTTTGCCCAGGTTTCCCTCAAGCAGCAGATCCTAACGTCTTTGTCTAAAGTGGCTGATAATGACACCTACAATATTGCAGTCAAAGACCTTGATTCCATTGTGCGAAACCTGTCTCTTAGTGATCTTCCAGTACTTCTCAATGCTCTATATTCCAGTTCCTCTGATCCTATTAATAAACCTATAATCAGGAGGGAATCTATCTATTTACTCTCACTTTGTTGTCAATATCATTGTGACTTAAGATTACCCACTTTGAGTAGAATCGTTACCCACATTGTTAAAATGTTGAAAGATCCGGACCCCAGTGTAAGGAAAGCTTGCTGCAGAGCTATTGGGATTTTGTCAGGGTTATACTTGAAACAGGAGGTAGTCAATGAGGCCAGATTAAAATTATTTGTGGGACCATTATTTGATGCTTTGAGGGAGCAGAATGAAGTTGTGCAATCAGAAGCAGCTATTTGCATGGCAAAGATGGTGGAGTGTGCTGCAACCAACAACACTGTAGGAGCAGAATTTAAGGATCTATTCCCTAGGATTTGTAGAGTGCTGAGTAGTAAGAGTTTTCGAGCCAAGGCTTCAGTTTTGAGCACTGTCTCCATCTTCTCACAGGTTTTAATTATGCGATATCAATGTATATTCTGACATTTTTGTGTTCTTTTTGTTTATTTACTAGGTTGATGTGACAGAGGCAATGAGATACTGTCGTATAGGTTAAGACCCGATTTGATACATGTCACAGAAATTATTTAGGAAAGAAATATGAAAATGAAGTTACTTCCCTAAACATCTGGATGTTATAATCCCCGCTTCTTTGTTCTCTGTATGCTGTATCTAACGAAAAGAATGAGGTGAAACAAAATCAATGGAATCCATGCTGTTGCATTATGTGACTAGGATTGTTCTAGAATGTTAATTAGTGAATACTTGACTTTATGGCTCTGCATGAATGGGACCATATCCAGACTTGTAAGGAGGATTGAATAACGTGCAGGTAGGAGCAGTTGCTCCACAAAGCTTGCAACCATTGCTGCAGAGTATTCACGACTGCCTTAGCAGTACAGATTGGCCAACACGCAAGGCTGGAGCTGATGCTTTAACTGCCTTAGCAGTCCATTCCTGCAGCTTAGTTTCAGCCGAAGCTGCTGATTCTACATTCACGGCGCTTGAGGCTTGCCGTTTTGATAAGGTTTTATCTTCCCTCATGCTTTGATCATGTTATGTATTTGTAATTAACATTTATATCTAGTTACTTCTATATCTGGAGTGATTTGATCTTCATTCTGCTCCTCTTTTATGGTTTATCATGCTTGTGTTAATCAACTCGTCGTGGGGGGTGGGGGGGGGGGGTGGGGGGTTCTGAGGTTTTCACATCTCTACATTGGTTGCAATGTTTCAGCAACTTATATATTTGTAAAAACTTATGGAGGAATGAAATGCCTTTGTATAGATAATGCGAATGTCTAAACTAATGCGACCCCAAGGAAATTCAATACTTTATCGTTTCAACTTTTTGTTGCCTGGAAAACGCTTCATACCTTTTTGAATGTGATTCCTGTTAAACTTAAAAATCTCGTATTTTATCCAACAGATAAAACCTGTTAGAGATAGCATGAATGAGGCATTGCAATTATGGAAGAAGATTGCAGGGAAAGGAGGCGATGGGGTTTCAGATGACCAGAAAGCTTCCTCTCCAGGTGAATATTTCACATAGTAGTTTTTCCTTGAGCAAATGAACCCAATAATACCAGTCAACTATTCTGGTTGCTTGTTGACAAACATCAAATCCTAACATTCTTTAGGTGGTGAAAATCGAGAAACTACCGAGTCAACAGAGAAAGGTTTGAATGCAAGAAACAGAAGTCTAGAGTCCCCTGCCATAGATCTACCTAGTGGCTCTCCCCCAGTCACTAATTCTGCTGCAAAGGCCCAATCTGGAAACATACCAGATAAGACAGTTGTAATATTGAAGAAGAGAGCACCTGCGCTGACAGACAAAGAACCGAACCCAGAATTCTTCCACAAACTAGAAACAAGAGGCCCTGATGAATTGCCTGTTGAAGTTGCTGTCCCTCGTCGGTGCAATAATTCCTCTAGTCTAAACAATGAGGAAGAACCAATATCAAACAATACAGAACTGAAGGAGAGATCAGATCCCTCAGCAAATCACAGGTCTGATGAGCTGTATTTCAATAATAGGTACCGCATCAGTGATAGAGGAACCGTGGGGAGAGATCCCAAAAGCAGAGCATTTGATGATGAACGGGGTGATTACAACAATAGGGGGGAGACTGCTGGAAATCGCGCTGCAGGTATCTCCAAAACTGATGGGCAGTCGGAAGGATCCTTGGGAAATAGTAGAGGAAATTGGTTGGCAATTCAAAGGCAATTGCTGCAACTAGAAAGACAACAGACGCATCTTATGCATATGCTTCAGGTATATATGTTGAACTTTTGACCAAGAATATCTTGTCATCATCACAGCTTCATTTTCGCTATAACTAGTGCTCCACATTTTCAGGATTTTATGGGTGGATCTCATGATAGCATGGTGACCCTGGAAAACAGAGTTCGAGGTCTTGAGAGAGTTGTTGAAGACATGGCACGAGATCTGTCTATGTCCTCTGCTGGTAGGAGGGGTGGTAGCAGCTTTGCCATGTCTTTTGATGGTTCATCTTCTAACCGATCATTGGGCAAGTACAATGGCTTCTCAGATTATTCTAGTGCAATGTACAATGGTCGGGGTCCTTTTGGGGATAGATTTGTGCAATCTGATGTGAATGCTTCAGCTGCGAGGGGGAGAAATCCGCACTGGAGGGCGGACACATCTGATACTTGGGATTTCCCCTCGTATGGGTCTAGAAATGGTCAGGTTGGCTCAAGAAGAGCTCCAGGTGGTGGAAGTGCTCTAGGGTCACCAAAATCTGAGCATGAAAATGATCAAGTTGGCAGCAGCAGGAGAGGTTGGGATAAGGGCGGTGGTGGGCCCTCTAGGCTTGGTGAGGGGCCTTCTGCTAGAAGTGTTTGGCAGGCATCCAAAGATGAAGCAACTTTGGAAGCCATCCGCGTTGCTGGGGATGATAATGGATTGTTATCACGGACTGCCAGGGTGGCCATTCCTGAATTGACTGCTGAAGCCATGGGAGATGACAATGGTGTTGAGCAAGAGCGGGACCCCATTTGGACTTCATGGAGTAATGCCATGGATGCCCTAAAAGTTGGTGACATGGATACAGCTTATGCTGAAGTGACTTCCACTGGAGATGATATGTTGCTTGTGAAGATTATGGACAGGACGGGACCTGTGGTCGATCAACTCACGAATGAAACAGCATGTGATGTCTTTCATGCTATTGCTCAGTTCTTGCTGGATCACAATTTGTTCGACCTCTGTTTCTCTTGGATTCACCAGGTATGTCTGTTATGTCATTACTCAAACTAACAGGAAGCTGAGAATAGGCATAACACTCTGATATTTAAAAATGAAGTGAAGATAGAAATTTTCTCATCCTTTTGGCCTAGACCTGGATTTTACTTGCAGTGTGTTATTAGGTTAACGGTAGGGCTATTTTGCAGAAGTTTGTCATGAGAATGGGAGTCTATAGTTGGTAAAAGTAGGACTGGGATTGCAATCATTCCACTAGGGTGTTCATTTGCTGGGAACGCAGAATAGAATGGGGCTAGCTATCACCTCCATTTCTGTCGACTTGGTATATGTCTGGAAGTGAGTCTCTTGATAATAGTTAGCACCGTTAATGGGAGCTGCTGTACAGTTATTCCTCTTTGGAATTGCAGTGTTTCGGATACCATACCGGTTGGTTGTTCTGCTTAAACTATCTACCCATGACAAGCCAGTATGTATTTGTCATGGTTTTGACACAGATTTGCTATTCTACTTCAAACTATTTGCCTAGCTGGTTTGATCTCTGTTACGGTTTCACATTTATCGGGGATCCGACACTTTTTCTAAGGCGTACCCACTTTTTGCTGTCAGGTCTCTCTTAGACTCTTTCAATGCAATGTCCTTGTTAAATCAATCATGGTTGTGGAATTAAGTTCTCATATAAAGAACTGGTATTATCTTTAGATCGTTTTGATTTGACTGGATCTCTGCTTGTTCTTTTCAGTTGGTAGACATAGTAATGGAGAATGGAGCAGATGTTCTGGGGATTCCCATGGAATTGAAGAGGGAACTTTTGTTGAACCTACACGAAGCTTCCACGGGAATCGATCTGCCAGAGGACTGGGAAGGTGTGGGGCCTGACCAACTCCTGCTGCAGTTGGCATCAGCTTGGGGCATTGAACTGCAACAGTTTGACAAGTGAAGCAACTAGCAACTCCTTTAAGTCCAAGATTGTGAACATGGATCCAGTGTCGTGCCAGTTCGATTTTCTTGCATGTTTTTGAGCTTTTTGTTGATAGATCTATCAAGTATTGACCCTGTATCTTTTTGCAGTTTTCGTTCCTTTTGCTACTTTATTGGAGAATACCTACTATATTTGATCTGGAGAGTTAAAAGGTGTTGTAAATGGATATACAGCTTCGTGATAGCAAGGATTTGGTGTTGAATTAGTTGCCAACTTGACCGCCCTGGCTGGTCCCTCCCAGAACCAAAGTCCGGCAAAACAACGAATAAGAAAGGGAATGTGTACGAACAGTTCAAACTGACATACACGTCCAGAAACTAATTGCAACTCGAATTCACAAATCCATAAATTCACACATTCAATCTTCCAACTCCAAATTATATACCTACGTATCTCAAAATGTTATCAGAGTCGAGCGATGAGCCATATATACATCACGAGTTACTGCAATTCCCAGGAGAATGATATTGCTTACTACCCACAGAACAAAACTTACACTAGTGCCGCAAACAAAATGTCCCGGGTCATGTATGGAACATGGAAGGCCGATGGATAACAAGTTCTAAATGGAGCTGAGTCTGTCAGTCTGATAAACCCATTGGTAACCAGAATGAAGCCCAGCTAGATATTTCTCCACATCACCGGGTGGGCACTGCCCACCCAGCTCAAAATCATAAATAGAAGGACGAGACGCCATTATAATCTGAGGACCTTGCGACAAACCCACTTGTGGTGGCAACAAAACTTGTAAAACTTTACTTGGCCGCATACCAGTTTTGGGCACACTTGGCATCCACAGAGAGATCCACTTTAAGAACATTCTTGCCTCCGAATGGGTTTGACATGCACTCGACCACGACTGCCTTGGCATCTTCCGCAGAGTCCATGGGTCCTTCCAAAATCACTTCATCATGAACCTGCATTTACTTCCTACTGTTACTTTCCAGATAGATCAATTACATATAATATCCTAATTGGTCAAGAAGTGATGCAATTTCTCAAGACCAAAACTCAAGGCAAGGAGAAATGGATAGCTTTGAAGCTAGACATGGAAAAGGCTTATGGTAGAGTAGAATGACCTCTGTTATTTGAGTTATTGAAAGGCTTGGGCTTTGGAGACAAATGGCTCAAATGGTTAAGGTCATGTGTGACAACTGTATCTTTCTCTATTGTATTAAATGGATTTATTCATGTATACTTTCATCCCCAAAGAGGCATTCGGCAAAGGGATCCTCTCCCCCCTCCTATTCGCTCTATACACAGAAGCCTTTTCCTCCCTTATAGAGAATGCCATTAGTAATTCTACCCTTCATGGCTTGCGTATACATAGGGAAGCTCCCTTGATGTCCCATCTTTTCTTTGCGGATGACTCTTACCTTTTCTTCCGAGCATCCTCTACTGAATGTATCAACTTGTTAGAAATACTTCATGATTACGGAGTTGTGAGTGGCCAACCCATATTCATGGATACTTTCTTCAGAAATCAGCTGTTACATTCAGTGCAAATGTCTTAGATTCTGAAGCTGCTCACCTGGCCAGATTGCTTGGTGTGTCAACGATTGGGGCTCATGATCGATATCTAGGACTACCATCCCAGGTTCATAGATCTAAAATCCAAACCTTCTGATATATTGAGGACTCTTTAGCAGCCCGAACACGCCAATGGAAGACAAAACACATGTCTTTGGCTGGCAAAGAAGTAGTCATTAAAGCAGTAGGAACATCAAAACAGGCTTGGGAACTTCTTCGTGACCCGGATAGTATCCTTGCAAGAATGTATAAAGCTAGATACCATTACAATGACCATTTCCTTCAAACTCGCCAGGGAGCCCGCCCTTCATGAGCTTGACAAGTTATCTTGCAAGGGAGAGACCTATTGAGCAAAGGCTTACGTTGGCAGGTAGGATCAGGATCTAGGATAAATACGTTACAAGATCATTGGCTTCCAACAGACCCTCCATCTAGCCCTATTCTTCTAATAGGTGCTTCCCTTGATCACCCATTGGTGTCATTCCTTCTAGACTCTAACTCTATGGTATGGAATACAAACTTACTTAAAACCCTATTTCATCCGGTTACGGTCGAACAAATCTTATCCATCCCCCTCCCGTCCTCCCCTCAAGATGACAAATTGATTTGGCACTATGACAAGTCTGGTCACTACACAGTGAAATCAGGATACCATCTCCTTTCGTCTGGATTAAACCCACTCACTAATGCCTTTCCAGTTTTTTTGAACACCAAATTCTGGAAATATCTGTGGAATATTCCAATACCTCCCAAACTCAAATTCTTCCTTTGGAGATTGGTACGTTGATTCCTACCAGTTAAAGGATTTCTGTTTTACAAGAAAATTACTTCATCAAGTCTCTGCCCGGTTTGTTGTGAGGCAAATGAGGACTTCAAGCACTGCTTTTTTGATTGTAGAATCACTAGAGAATTGTGGGCAATCAGAACTCGACTAGATCAGAGAAATGATGAAGGCAAACTCTATGGACCTTGCGTTGAGAAACCTCTTTTTTATTCCCCATATCTCCAAGAACGATGTAGCCTACATAGTCTTCTTGTTCTGGAGAATATGGAAAGGCCGATATAAGGCTACTCATGGATACATCTTCTACAAAGCACAAGTTTTATACAGGCAACTGTCAGTGCATGTGGAGGAATGGAAAACGATAGAGGCACAAAAGGTCCAGAAGTCCGAAGAAGTCCAAAGGCCATCGCCACACTCTTCCACAGGCCATAGTTCTCAGGCACGGAGCATAGATGCTACATGCCCTAGTGACGGTGTTCTAGTCTACTTCGATGGAGATACAAAAATTTCCCAAGGATGCTCTACTGGCTTCGTTGGCTTCTAAAGTGATTAAGTCATTTCATTTGCAGTTGGTAAATTCTATGATGACATTACTGATCCTTATACATCAGAATTACTTGCTATTCGTGATGCTATGAGATGGTGTCTCATCCATAATTTCTTGACTGTTGCTTTTTGTGGGGACTCTCAATTGGTGATCAAGGACGTAACATCGAAGCAAGCCTCTCATTCAAGAGCGGGAGACATTTTAGAGGAAGTTCACTATCTTCTTCCCTCCTTTTCCTCAGTCTTGTGTCACTTTGCTCCTCGGAGTTTCAACAGAGCTGCCCACCTCGTGGCTAAACATGCTCTTTTATCGGGAGTCCGGTTGCATATGGACTACCGTTCTTTGTTAGTGTCTCTCTTTTAACTGTATTGTCCGGCCATGCCCTGGGGCTTATCTTGGATAAAAAATACTATGACCAGAGCTTACACAGATTCGTCAAACAAAGCTCCTTTTGGTGGGATTTTTAGTTCCCAAGTTTTAGACCAAATGGAATTCCGTTTCCACACCCAAATACAGAAGTTGGAAATGAAATTGGAAATTACATCCCCTCTATTGAGTTTTTCACTTATCCAATAATGAAACAAAACATGACAAGGTAATTATGGAAAAAAGATTACAAAACGTGTAACAGTAGTCTCCAACCTAGCTCTTTCAAACGTTCGTTTCTCATGATTTCCAACATGGCACACATAGCAACATCACCAGCACTACCCTGCACCAGCGATTTCAAATGAATCAGGATAGAAAGTGAGGGATTAGAAAGAGGCAACTGCTCCAGGAAGGTAATGAGAATGCTGGGTGAACTTGCACGTGTGTGTTGATAGCAGCCCTTTCGATATGATTTTTCTGAGAACGACTCATATGCTTTGAAGATGGGAAATGATGAGCGCGTCCCAGTAGTGTATGTAAACATCCTATTATATTAGCTTCCTGCTTACGAGCTTTTGCCATATCAAGACTTCTTGCCTTTCTCTATACCATAAATCAACGGTTTCCTTTTCTTCGTCTGCTGAAACCTATGGAAGTCCAACCAAACATTTCCATGGTCCAAGAACACGTCTTGTGGAAGGTGGCTTATAGCAGCTTACCTTCCAATCGCGTGCTAGTCCAACTGGAGTTTTTTCATATGCAATAGAAAAGTTGAGCATCTTAGCTTTCCTTCTTTCTGAAGCAAACCGATCCCGTAACAAAATTTAATACAGTAAACAATTCATTAACTGATCATTTAGTTTTCATGAGCTCAGAAGGGAAGCCAAGAATGAAGCTCGGTGCTTCAACTAAGATAAACGACAATAGCAAAAAATAGCAGAGCAAATAACATCCAAAATATGTCAGGTTCATTCCATGTACAACAAAAAGCATGAAGTGGACTCATACAATCACAACTCAACCTACACTGAACTATTTCCTAATAGGATCCATCAGCATAACAGCTAAATGCTTGTGTAAGATGTATAGCCTCAGATTTTTTCCCTTGGACGTTTCTACATGAAATTAATGGGAGAGAACTACTGTCAGAAACAGATGAAATTATTGAGTTGGAATAGTACAATACTACAATCCTGCTGTATAGAACAAACATCAGGGGAGGAAAGAGCAACTCAAAGTTTCAGATATTACTACTGAATATGAACACTTCCATCAAATAGGCATGCAAGCATACACTAGAGAACACGAAGAGCTCAACCATACCTCAACAATGGAACTGGTGGTTTTTCTTGACCTGGTTGAGAATACCACTCTAGAAGCACTTCCTTCCTCTCAACGGCCTCATGAATATGAGGATACATATTCATTGCAGTTCTTGAGTGGAAATCGCCACCAGCTTCAAAAGCTCTTATCATGCTTTCACAGCTAGCTAGGTGAGCAAGAATCCTAAGTTCCAACTGTAAATGAACATTTTGTTTAACTACATCAGCCATTAAATGGAGTTCAATTAGTAATTGATACTAAACACCTGCCCATAATCAGCAACAATAAGGGAGTTGCCAGGCGCAACAGCAAATGCTTGGCGAATCTTGTATCAGTCCTTTTCCAAAGCTGGCTGATTCTGATGGACAAGAGAACAAGATTTCAATACTAAGCTCTTCCCAATACTTTTTTTTTCGTTGAATTTTCCCAATACTTTTTCGAAGAGAGCAAAAAGTTATTAATCTGTCAACTTCAATAATGAAACTTGGTAGACTCAAGCTACAACTAGCGAAATTCAATTGGAACACTTTGATGCTTGTGCTACTACTGGAAATTTTAATTCCTGCTTAGATTGAGGAATTTAAAGCGGTCTCTAGATGTCAAGGACTGGTAATTGTTTCCTCTTTCACGTTGATATTCTAGCCGTATAAAATCACTTTAGTAGTGTATGTTGATTCATGTTACTCTTCCAAGTATCAGAATTCCTACTGCTGCTAGTCCA